CCAGCTGAAAGTCAGCCAAGTTCACCGATGAAGTGTTCGTGCAAGAGTAATATGAAAATAGTGTATTTCGTCCACATTATTTCTTATCTTTTCGACTCTGATTTTTTGAAAATAGAATTTTTAAATTCGTTGTTGTTTCACATGCACAACTTACTTCGACAACAGTATTGATAAGTCCCATTTTCTCGGCTTCAGAAGCAGTGTAAAACCTCGTCATATACCACATTTCACGTGCTTTTTTGGGGCCAATCTATTCGAGTTCCACAATCAAAAGAAGTGTATAAACATACAAAATTGTCTACATATACAAGTAAATGTGTATATAAACAAGAAATCCAATCCAAAAAACTCACCAAACGACACATTATGGAAGCCCCATATCCAGCATCAAAGCTTCCTACCTGCAATTTGCAAAACCAGTATGATTTCTGATTAGATTCATTAGAAACAACATGCCACATTTTTTCTTGAGAATTCATTGTTGGTACCATGTTGTAGTATAATCTTGGTACCTTGGGTCCTGTCTGTCCAAAAATAGCATTAGCTGCAGCAATTGTTAAATCACAGACCATGTGCAGCACATGTCCACCTCCTACGGCATAACCTGCAACCTTGTTTATGCAGTAGAACAAACACATTAAATTTCATCGATATCAAATAAAGAGGTATCAAAATGTTTCATGTTCATGGTCGGGACAGATCAGTAAATACGGTATAGGTCCACTGCCCTTGTGAGATTATTGAGCAAAAAGAAAGTGCATAGGCTCAACATGACAAGGTTGACACCTCTAATCACAACATAAAATCCCCGAACCATGCTGCGCAGGGCTGACCAGTGATTTTCCAGTCCAACTCAGTTTACTTGTCTGATCATTATACAAGCTTCAAAATTATGGAAAACTGAGAAGACAAATATAAAAGCTTACCATTGCTATAACTGGTTTGGGAAGACGTCGTATTTGCACCTGCATCGAGAATTAGTAAATTGATGATAATCATTTGAATGAAAAGTTTCGCCCGATTTTTCTCTAAAATGGTAGCTCAAATGAAGTTCAATTTTGTGCTTGAATAAAATGTACCTGTAAGTCTAAAACATTCAGGCGACCAAAACTATCGTAATCGACATAACCTTCTTTCCCTCTGAGAGACTGATCACCACCACTGCAGAATGCCTTGGTTCCCTGCACCAATTTGTCTCATCACCACTTGTTTATGAAAATCTCGAGTTTTCAACAATTGAAGAGAAGATTAATTGAGCAGCCAATCTGACAATGTGATTTAACTAAAAGATATATTTTGACAGTCAACAAGAAATAGATCTGAGCACAATCTTAGGTTTTAAATCAGCAAATGATCAAGTGAACAGATCTTAAGCAATGTGTGAAATTCATTTATTAAATTTCTCTTGGAATTCTAAACTTTACATATGGATATGCAAAATAAACATATTCACAAATAAACTTTATTGTCGATTAGTGACAGGCAAGTTGACTACGATGCTCCAAAAACACGATATTGTTAAGTACAACTAAAAACTCGATAGCATTTGGATACTTTTTTATATCACGAAAAGTACCTTCCCAGTAAAAATGATAACTCCGATTGAGTTGTCGTCTCTGGCATCATTGAATGCTCGCATAAGCTCCTTGATCGTTTGAGGCCGGAAGGCGTTTCTTCTCTCTGGCCTGTTAATTGTTATCTAGGGTCCAACAAAATAAGAAAAAGTAGTAACTAACTGAAAGAGAAGTTCCAAGATACAAACACTTTGACAATTCAAATACTAAATATTAGCTAACAAATCAAGTCTTAGTTGGAATAGATTATACAAGTAAACACCATCAAACTAAGCATTATATATTCTCAATAAAGCCTCATGAATCCCTTTTCACCTTTCTGTCTGCTACAAATTTAAAATTCCCTGCGGGGAATCTTTAGAACTTTCAAAAGTTCTAATTCGATGTTATATACAGTTTTCAGATATGCAAATATTATTCAAGAACCATATTTCAACTCAGTATATTATTAGAATACAACACAAAAAATGCACTATAGTTCTGATATTTCAAGAGTACATATTGTGGGACCGTTTGGCAGTTCTAGTCAGCTAAACATGTTTAAAAGTAGCTTCTAGTTTCATAAGCAGCTTTTGATTTTTCAAGATCTTTCCTAAAAGGACCCTAAATTGTACCACTTTCATTAGCATATATATACTGTATACTGTATACTGACCTTGGCAATGCCTTCTCCAACAGCTTTTTCATAGATAATGTCAGTGTACTCCTTGCCGGAGTCGTCCCTGGCCGGATTCCACACCGGAATGTCAGTCGGGACTCCGCCGTGAACCCGGTGGAAGCTGTCATTCATTGAAGAGCTGCAATCCAGTATGGCAATCGCATTTCCTTGTTGACTCTGGCTTGGATGAGCTGGCATGATATGATTGGCTATGGAGGCTATTCTCCTCCGAGCAGAATCTGTCATTTCAGCCATTGATATAGTACTGGATAAACTTGATAATCTGATTATCTTCTTCTCGGGTTGGGGATGAGGGGATTTTGAAGATGAGACGAACTGAAATAGTATGCTAAGAGAGTTAAGTGTTTCTTTTGTTTACTTGTGGCAGTAATTCATTATCTTGACAAAAAATAATGGATGAGATCTTTGATAGGGAATTTCCAAAGTTACCCTTTAAGTACCTCGATTTGAAGCCATTGAGAAAAGGGTGTGACGGTCAAAATGTGTCGCCATTTCGGCCGTCCAGACTCAGAACAATTCAGCTAGCTAAAAGTCTAAAATACTGTTCCATACGGCTTGCCGATCTATTTATAGACTTGGGCCGTACTGTGCTCAATCGAGTTATCTACACTCACAAAGCATGACCCAATGCATCCCAAGCGTAGATCCAACTCTACAATCAAGTTGTATGAGGCGCGACCTTAATGTGCTTGACTATGGAGCTGTTGACAATTAGAAACTTTTATTCTATATCATCAAAAGTAATTAAATCGTAAAAGAAATTAAAATAGACGCATAAAAGGGCGTAAAATATATAGAGATTCGTTCCAATATGAGATTCGTTATTTTGTATCGCTAGTCATTCATTGCGATAAAAAAAGTTTACTATAAAACTTGAAACAAATAGAACCCTTACAAATGCTCGTTGAAAGCACCTTTATGGGGGAATTTTTTTTTTCTTTTAAATTGTTGAACCACACTGCGACACGCAGTCTAGAAAAAAAAAATTGTGATTCTCTGCATAACTCATAGAACTTGTATACTATCTTTTTGGGGGAATTTGGCCCAACTAACAATGTATTTGATGAAATAACATTTGATCAATAATAAAAATAAATAAATAATGTAAAATATTTTAGTTGGCAAAATCACTAAATTCTCCTTTAGTTGTTAACTTAATGTCTTCCAACTTTTCTCATTTCATCCCGTCATTATTTCTTCAAATTCACCTTAAAATCCTAATTTCTTTTTTTTGCTTTTGAAAATAACATCTTCTTCCCCTATTTATCTTCTTCAATTTTAAATTTTCAAAATTACATTTACATATTATCTTCTCTTCAATCACACTTGAACAAGAATTTGGTTAGCATATATTTACATTAAAAAAGAGAGGAAAAATGCTCTTAAAAATTCTATCTATGTTTTATTTTTATTACTAAATATAGTATTAAAAAATATTTAGTTGGTATTGTTTGCGTATTTAGTAGGTTGTTTGTGTTATTTGCAACCATTGGATGTGATAACACTCCAATTGCTATATGAAATATAGAACATCACTCCAGCCGTTATCTGTAGAATAAAACGACACTACAGTCATTATCTGCTGTAGTTTGATTTTTTNTTTTTTCAACGAAATGACTCTAATAATAAACTCACTAATGTATATAACAAAAAAAGATTGACTAGCCACAAAGAACGATTGAAACGACATAATTTTTATATTATTAAGATGGTGAAAATACAAGTTATCACACTTATATGTATCGATTAATTTAATAAACATATATATCAATTTTTATACATGTCATGTACATATTACAATATAAATAAGTTCCAGTTATTATTTTTCAGGGAAAGAATGGATTGTGACTACTTATACTTATATTTACACACGTAACAGCACAAGTGTCGTTTTTGGGTCCAGTAATGACACTTGTGTCATTCTAAAATTTTCAACTATATCTAATTTTTTCAAAAAAACAACAATTAATAATGAACTCCCTAACATATGTAATATAAAAAATTTGACAATGTCATAAATAACGTAAATGAGTTCCACTATTAGTTCACGGGATATAGATAAGACGTAGCTACTTTTACTCGTGTTAACACGTATAGCCTTTGTTTGGGCCTTATTTTTTCATCAAAAATGTATTCTTGAAATGTAATTTGATCACATTTTAACCACACGTTCAATAAAATAATATTAAACATAAACTCAAAACTTTTTCTCATTTTTTAACCACACATTTTTAATTATAATACTATTACAAAATTCATTTGTTGAAAAAAAAAATGGGGCTCAAACAACCCCATAATGACACAATTGTCATTTTCATATTAATTACGGCACTTGTGCTGTTCTGTTGATTTTTTCTACATTTTTGTTAATGTCTTTTAAGTTAAACATTTGCGTTTTAATTATACATATATCTCTAGTTTGTTGTTATTTCATGATAATAGCACATGTTACATTATTAGAAATATAAGCATCCATGAAAATGATACAAGTGCCATTACTGAACTTATAAGAGAAAGATGAGAACGATATGAGTGTTTTCATGTCTGTTACAAAATTTCATAGGAACGGAGCAAACATCATTACTCAGATAAAAATGTTTATGATTCAGTAAGGGGTCCAATATATGAAATCGTTGTACTAGAATAAAATTAAAATACAGGAAAAATCGATAGAACGGCACAAGAGCCATCACTAAAATGAAAACGACCATTCCGTCTTTCTATCTATAAATATGAGTTGAGAAATATGCTCATTAATTTTTAGTCTAACATCCCAATGATGACATAATTGCCATTATGATTATAAATTTACTTGTCCACGAGAACGACACTTGTGTCGTTACTAAGAGAAGAACGTCTCTTGTCTATGAGAATGATACTTGTATCGTTACCGAGATGAAAATATTTATGAGAATGACACAATTGTCACTATATTTGATTTATAAGTGTCCATGAAAATGGCACAAGTGCCGTTATAGTAATTAAAAAGTCCCTAAAAATGGTATCAGTATCATTATTGAGATGAAAAATTCTTAAAAAACAGCACAAGTGACATAATAAATATAAACTTCTATTATTACTGTGAGAACTGCACAACTTAGGGTGTGCCCAATTCTAAAGGTCGTTGCGTTAAAAACAAATGAAAATAAAGGGAAAATCAACAGAACAGCTCATGTGCTGTTACTGATAATAAAACGGCACTTGCGTCGTTCTGTTTATCATTACGAGTCTAAGCAACCACAACCCGTTCTTGTCTCGTGAAATAATAAGTTGAATCCATTTAACTTGTAAGTTTGATATGGCATTTAAAAAAATTAAGAGATATACTCATTACTTGTATTTTGTTGAAAATAATAGAATTACTTGTGCCGATACTGAGATGAAAATTTCTAAGAGAACAGCACAAGTGTCGTTTAGAGGATGAAAATGTCATTGAAAACGTCACGTGTGCCACTGCTAAGATAAAAAGTTCCAAAAGAATGACACAAATGCTATTATCTAAACATAATTTTTCCACGAGAGGAGCACTTGTGCCGTTACTATAAAGAAAACGACACTTGTATCGTTCTATCTATAAATACGATTATAGGCAATCATGATCCATTCATGCCCCAAAACTCATTTCAACTGCAAGATGGATATGTCGTTTACAAAAATTGAGAGTTGTGCTCATTAATTATATTTTCTAATGAATCAATACAATGACTTATGATTTCACCAACTCAATATTGTATAACTTATATCAATTCAATTGTTTTTTGTCACATGATCAACCTTTCTAACTTTCTTAACTTAGAGGATCCATGTTTGAGGTCGCTGCATTGGAAAATAAGCAAAATATTTGTGAAATCAATATAACGACACAAGAGCTGTTAAACGACACTTGTGTCATTCTGTCTATAAAGACGAGTATACATAGCCACGACCCATCCATGTCCCGAAAATTAACAAGTTAAATTCATTTCAATTGCAATATGAACATTCTGTTTACAAAAGTTGAGAGACGTGCTCAATAATTATATTTTCTAACGAATCAATACAATAACTTGTGATTTCACTAACTCAACATTGTTAATTTATGTCAATTCAACCGTTTGTTGTCCCATGATCAACCTTTCTAACTTTTTTTAATTAGGAGATCTAATGTTTGAGATTATTGCATTAGAAAATAAACAGAATATTTAAGAAATAAACAGAAAGACACAAAAGTTGTTAAATGACACTTGTATCGTTATGTCTATAAAGACGAGTATACGTAGCCACGACCTATCCGTGCCCTGAGAATCAATAAGTTGAACTCATTTAAATTGCAGTATGAACATTTTGTTTACAAAAGTTGAGAGAGATGCTCATTGATTATATTTTTCAACGAATCAATACAAGACTCGTGATTTTCACCAACTGAATGTCGTATAATCTATTTCAATTCAACCGTTCTTTTTTTCACGATCAACTTTTCTAATTTTCTTAAGTTAGGAGATCTAATGTTTGAGGTTGTTGCGTTAGAAAGGAAGCAAAATATTTGTGAAATTAATATAACAACAAAAGAGCTATTAAACGACACTTGTGTCGTTCTGTTTATAAAGGCGAGTATACGTAGCCACGACCCATTCATGCCCCGAAAATCAATAAGTTGAACTCATTTCAACTGCAATATGAACATTCCGTTTACAAAAGTTGAGAGATGTACTCAATAATTATATTTCTAACGAATCAATATAATAACTTGTGATTTCACCAACTTAATGTCGTATAATTTATGTCAATTCAACCGTTTGTGATCTCACGATCAACCTTTCTAACTTTTTTTAGTTAGGAGATCTAATGATATTGAAAAGATATAAAGAATGACACAACTGACGTTACAATGACATAAACATATTAACGGGAATGCCACAAGTCGTTACTGTGATAATAACAACACTTGTACTGTTATTGAGAATAGAACGAGTATAAGTAGCCATGAGCCTTTCGGGCCTCAATATTCGATAATTTGAACTCATTTAAGTCGCGAGATGGACGTGCCTCTCACATAATTTGGGAGATACTTTCATTAATTTTGTTTTCCAACGAATGTGGATGGTGACTTGTGATTTCATCAACACGACATATACAATCTATGCCAATTTTGCCGTTATTTGCCATGTAATTAATAATTCTGACGTTCTTATGTTAGGAGGTCTAATCCTTGAGGTCGATATGGTGAAAATGAAGCGAAATATAGGAGAAACAAATAGAACGACGCAGGTGTTTCAACATCACCTGTGTCGTTCTGTTGATAAACACGAGTATGAGCAGTCACGAGCATTTCGAGCCTCGATATTTCGTAATTTGAACTCATTGAAGTCGCGAGATTGACATGCTGCTAACATAATT